ATATATTTTTGGTTGTTCTCAGGAGAGAATCTCAGCAGGTTTCTTTTTGATTTCCTTCACCTCTCTAAATGTCCTACAGCTGCTCACCCTGTAACTCCACCATTCATTTGTTTTTTCATACCCCAGCTTCACCGCTCTCTGGTGTTTTTGAGTCCCAGAGGCAAAGAAATATAAGAAAGAATGTCTCTGACAAACATCGCAATTGGTGGGGTCAATTCTGTCTGCAGAAAAGTGGGAGGCAGCAAAAATAACACAACATCATCAGGTAAAAGATGATGACCACATCGTTTGCATTAACATCAAGTAGTGTGGGAGGAAGAAGACAAATCAGCAAACCAACTTTAACAAACAAAAGGCTGGGACCACTTTTGCAAGAGGAGAGGAGTTTTCCTCCTCTCTTGGAAAAATAGCATTAGTCTAAAGGGACAGTGGCTTAGCGCAGAAGTGATGCTCAGCAACACGACTGTCACTTTGGAGCTGGAACAGCTCTTTGGTTAGGAAATCTTTTGGACAGAGGATTAGTTTGGGTGTTTTTGTGGCTTTAGTTTTGTTTGGGTTTAATTACAACATTTTTGTTATTTATGCTTTACCCTTTGTAGCCATTATTAAAATCATTAGTCAGTTCATTCTCCCATGGAACTGAAGAGAACTTTGCCAATTTAGGGCTCAGGCTTGGAATTAATGGGAGATGTGGCACCGGGTGCTAACCAGGACCTCCCTCGCCTGCTTCCTCGGGGGATGGAAGGATACCAAATTACCACCCCGCACCCAGTGCCAAGCAACTTCACTCCACCTTGGTTTACAGTCCCCAATGCATCACTCACTTTACAGCCCAGTACCTTTGCTGCAGAGTGTGAATACACAACCTTGCACTGTACAGACCCTTCCATAGTACCCAGCCTCCTAGACATGCAATGCTCAAAATAAGCACAGACACACCTGGCTGTGCACCTTCATGTCAAGCCCAGCGATACCTTTATAAATCTTTTTTTTTTTTTTTTTTTTTTAAGCAATAGCCTGCATTATTCATACAGAAACCATAAAACATACGGCATATGTGACTGTGCACATGTGTATTTCTTTCTGGTATTTGGACTGGATGAAATAATGTGACCTGTTAAATTTATTTTTTTTTTAAGAGTCATTTTCATTTTTAGTGTTTGGATTTCAGAATGTGTGCATCTGCATGAGCAAACAGATATTTCTTAAATGTTTCTATTAACATTTTGGAAAAGCATATATCTTTAACACAGCTTGGAAAGCCTAGGAGATTCAGTAGTGCACTGGAAACGTGGGTGAATCTGCTAAAAGTTGCTTTGGTGAGTAAAGTACCTGCTAAGTACAAGACTATGCATATATGGAAAGAAATTAAACTGGCAGACAAGCTTTCAGTTCTGCAAGTCCTCTTCAATCACAGTTCAGCTGCTCCAAAAACACTGGTAAAAGGGGGACATATAGGGCAACACAGATCCCCATTAGCCACCCTATGGGACAAGGTGCACCAAGAGCTTGCAACATGAACCAGAGACTAATTCATACTTAATACCGTAACACCTAAGAGTTTGAGATGGGAACTTTGAGTCCAGCTGGTGCAGGGCATGCGTTATTTAGAGGTTGGGCTCCCAGCCTGAGACCTAACCCACCACCAGCACATTATAACATTATCTTTGAACAAGAGGTAACAGGTACAAATTTGAACATAGGAAGTTCCATCTTAACGTGAGGAGGAACTTCTTTACTTTGAGGGTGGCAGACCACGGGAACAGGCTGCCCAGAGAGGTTGTGGGGTCTCCCACACTGGAGACATTCAAAACTCGTCTGGATGCTGTCCTGTGCAACCTGCTGTAGGTGACCCTGCTCTGGCAGAGGGGTTGGACTAGATGATCTCCAGAGGTCCCTTCCAGCTCTGACCATTCTGTGATTCTGTGGTAACCCATCCATCCAGACACCGCACTGGTAGTCTTGGAAATCATATATTCATCATTGCGCTCTTGTCTTGGTCTCCTTATGGTGGGAGAAAAGGAATGTTGAGTATGTATGTGCATGCCCACACCTCTAAATACTCTCCTAAATCCAAATAGCAACAGCACTGTCCTCTCTTGGTGGTTTTATATATAACTTAAAAATGAAAAAGTGAACCTCTACGAAGGTGGCAGTGCCTCCTTGAAAGTGCATGTAAGGAAAGGCAAAAATGCCACACAGGTAGTGAGGAGTGAGAGGGGGAAAAGTGAGAAACAGCCCTTTGAGCACCAGGGTGGGAGGAGAAGGGGAGGGATTGCTCCAGCTGCCGGGGCAGATACTCTCTTGCAGCCCCTGTGGAGAGACATCCACGCTGCAGCTTATGGACGACCCTATGCTGGACCAGATTCTCCTGAAGGACCACGGGAAGGGCCCAGACTGGATCAGGGGAAAGTGTGAGGAGGAAGGAGCTGCAGAGAGGAACTGTTTCAGACTGACCACAACCCCGGCACCACTGGGGGCAGTGGGTAGAGGAGTTGGGAGTGAAATTGGTCCCGGGAAAATGGGGAGGTTGGGGGTAAATGTGTTGTTTAATTTTTCTCTTTGATTCTCACCATACAAGTCTATTTTAATTGGCAATACATTAAATTCATTTTCCCCCAAGTCAAGATGGCTTTGCCCACGATGAGAATTGGTAAGTGATATCTCTGTCTTTATATTGACTCACGAGCATTTTCATCTAATTTTCTCCCCCTGTCCTGTAGAAGAGGGAGCAGCTGGGTGGGTGTCTGGCAGCTGGCCAAAGTTAACACACCAAACCAATAATGGATACAACTGCAAAACACTATTTCATATTTTAATTTAAATGTTATATTGAAAACACATCCTATTTTCTACTTCAGGATTGAAAAGATCAATCAAAATTAAAGATTAAAGTGTATAGCTTTGCTCAATAGATGCCAAAAGCACTTAAGCAAAATGACAGAAAGACACACTCCATTTAGCCACAACTTTGCCAGTTGTGTATATGCAGAGAAATAGTCTATTGTGGTACCCCTTCTACCGTCATAGCAGTGAATCTTAGAAACAAAACCGCTTGACGAAAAAGTTTTCCAAGGGAAGAAATTTATAGATTTCTGGAATTATTTCATTTTCTCTTCTGGAAAGTATCTTGAAGATTAAACTAAATATTTTCTTTTCCCTCTGAAGACTACCACTGCGATAATCATTGATAATACTAGCCTTGACTTAAGATTCCTACTGGGACCTAAACAATCTGCCACTGCGTTACGCCCTCATAGCCTGCTACTCACCCACCACTATCCTGTCGCCCTGCTGCAGGGGAGAATTCCTTTGGGCAAAGCTATGAAGACCTGAAGTGCTAGTCAGAATAAACAACACCAACCTCAACATCTATTCTGGGTCTAAAGCTACCACAATGGTGATAAACACAAAGCGAATGTCATATTGAAAAGAAACCCAGTTAGCTACAAGCAAGCAACTCAAATCTCTCACTCTGAATATCACTCGTGCCGTTTGGCCCTCAACTCATGTTCCTTCTCCTCTAATGCTATAGCGCATACAAGCTAACCACTTAAAGCAATCCCACTGGCAACAATCCCCCAGCTCTCACCCAGGAAACAGCGATTTCCACTCTTGGTTACATATTACACTAGTGCAACTAAAACAGTCCCACAGAAAACATTTTCTACTAAAAAAAAAAAAAGACAGATCAAAATCTAAACCTTCATGGGAAGGCAGCAAATTTGTTTAGCCGTTTTCATTCAATGTTCATTTTTATGCTATTATAAAAACATT